GTCTAGGGTTGAGGGTTTGAGGTTTAGGGCGTATGGTTGAGGGTTTGGGGTTTAGGGTTCAACCTATGTTCCCCGTGGGCTTCAAACAGTGGCTATGTTCTTGCCGTTCGGCTTCCGGGGGTCTCGTTCAGGAACTTGATGTTGCGGTGCTAGGGTTACATCGTCGAGAGTATAGTACTCTTACATTGGTATCTCAGTTTCGGCTCCATATCGAAAGCCTTGGAGAAGGAACAGGCTTGCTTTTGGGGTTTGGGGTTTCGGGTTTGGGGTTTAGGGTTGCGGGTTGTGGCTTGATGCAACGCATTGTAGGACCTTGCAACCAAGGATCGCGCAGCGCTTTCCGAATGCAGAGGTCGTGGGGACGCTTGGCTGGTGTAGGCTTTTGGGTTTTGGGGTTTAGTTTGTTGTTTTGCTGTTGTTGTTTCGGGGGGTTTGCGGTTTGGAGCTTGAGGTTTTAAAGCACTGAACCCTATTTAGCCTAAACCCTCAACCTCCTATTTTTTGTAAAGCACCGAACCACTCAACTGTATGAACCTTGTAAACCCTGAACCCTAAACCTTCAACCCTGAACCCTGAAACTTAACCCTATAAACCCTACACCCTGAGACCGGAACCCCGAACCCTAAACCCTAAACCCTAAACCCTAAACCCTAAACCCTAAACCCGAAGCGCTGACTTACTTTGGCGCTCGGCCTGGGAAAGAGAGCACATCACTGTCGTGGATACGATGGAGATGAGGACACGGGTTTAGGGTTTAGGGTTTAGGGTTTAGGGTGTGCCCCAACCAACATCTTTTGGGCTGGTTAACGTTAGGATCCCACGTTCCGGCATTTTTAGGTTCGCAGGGTAGGGTTTAGGGTTTAGGGTTTAGGGTTTAGGGCTTGTGGGGTCTATAGGGCTTATAGTAAGGTTTATGCATCTATCTGTCTCTCATGAGCCTTTAGGATTTAGGGTCGATCTTCTGTGGTTCTTTACGGCAAGCTTAGATCCTGAGCCTTTTGGGGTTGTAGGGTCTTCTTCATGAGGTATAATTTAAAGCATTTTTTCGCCGAGTGCTAAAATGCAGCCAAAGATCCGACGCCCCGGGGTACTGTAGGTGTTGAGGCAGGTTTAACGAAGTACCTCTGTTATGGCAGCTTTGAGCCCTAAACCCTAAACCCTAAACCCTAAACCCTAAACCCAAGAAGTTTAAGCCAGCCCAGGATCGATGCCTGGGCACCCTCCGTGGATGCAGCCACCAAGAAGGACAGGACAGTCAGTGGTTGGGAGGATTGGATTGGGGTTTGTTCCCTTACATTGCCTCCTAAACCCCCTTGAAGTAGAAAGGGTTAAACCCTAAACCCTAAACCCTAAGCCTAAACCCTAAACCCTAAACCCTAAACCCTAAACCCTAAACCCTAAACCCTAAACCCTAAACCCTAAACCCTAAACCCCCACTGTTGTTGCACTGTGACCTGGAATCAGCTCATCCAGAAGCATTGTGGGAGGCCGAAGCAGCAAACTTGACCAATGCAAAGTTCATTTGCAGCCTGCTCAGTTTCTGCCCGCGGCATTCACGTGCTTCATGCTCATGGCAGGGTTTAGGGTTTAGGGTTTAGGGTTTAGGGTTTAAGGGTTTAAGGGTTTAGGGGTTTAAGGGTTTAAGGGTTTAAGGGTTTAAGGGTTTAAGGGTTTAAGGGTTTAAGGGTTTAAGGGTTTAAGGGTTTAAGGGTGACGACTGTCTAGCCTGGCATGCGGTCGTGCCTGAAGGTGGTGATGCGGCAAGCTTTGGAGACGGTGGCGCGTGGACGGCAAAATTTGACTTGGATGCTTGGCTGACAGCCACCCCTAAACCCTAAACCCTAAAGCCTAAACCCTAAACCCTAAACCCTAAACCCTAAACCCTAAACCCTAAACCCTAAACCCTAAACCTTCCACTTTTCCGTCTGGTTGATTGTCAACGTCGGCTCCCAGATCCTGCAACCCGACATGGAGGTTCATGTGTAGCTGCGACTGGCGATCTAAGTGGGGTGTAGGGTTTAGGGTTTAGGGTTTATTGAGAACTACCCATGAACGTTCAAGCAAGCGCGAAACCTCACTTGTTGCCCAGGTCACCAGCTTCGATGTCATCCATGACTTGACCAACCCTGAAGCCACCTTGCGTGAGTGCCGCCGGGTCCTAAAGGCCGACTGCAGCGGTAGGTGGGGGGTTTTGCGAAAATAAGGGGCCCGCAATATAGATCTCCAAATAGTAGGATCCCCATAGAATAAGGACCCCAATAAGGTACCCCGAATGTCGGAAACCCCATGTAGGACCTAAGCCATTCTAATACGGTCGTCAATGAAGTTAAGGTCTCCACAAAGGCAGCGGGAGGAAGCCTGCCACAATCGAGAGAATCCCTCACCCCGAAGGGGTGTGACACTTCAGGGGTGGTGGGCATTCGAAATGAAGGAAAACAATATCAAATCGCAATTGCGTACACTCCGTGAAACTAGACCTTCTTTTGAGCTGGTGCAGCATGCTTATGGGTACTTTCGCCATTTGGACCATTCGTGTCAAATCGCATCGGTCTTATTATGAGATATTTTTATCGATTCCTCATTATGATAGATATAAATTCTTTTCCTCTCCTCGAATGAATGAGATAGTTATTGGTGTTATAAATTTATTGAGTAATTATGCAGAAGTCAGCGTATAATTTCTATAAATATTCAAATATAAGTGGACGAATTTCATTAAATATATTATATATATATCTTTGATATTAGGATTGTCTCGATTCTGTTGGATATAAATTTCAGATAATTCCTTAATTTTTCTTAGATATTAGATTTATCATATGAGAAAATAAATTTGAAGATATTTTTATATCAAATGAATTTGAGAATGATGACTCTAATATTAATTTCAAATACGATTAATTTATTATTTTCTTATAAATCCTTACAAATCTATTTTCCATTAAGAAAGAATAGAAATATTCGGATAATTTATCGCCGGTCAATAAATATAAAAAATCTCGAAAGAATTTATCAATTAATTCTTCGTCAATTCATTTTCTTAATTCATCATAGAGAAATCTTCCTCGAATTCCATCAAGCCCCTCCCCCCTCTATAGAAAGAAAAGATTGCAATATGTATAATCTCAAATAAGATTTCGGCAGCCTCGATATATGAAATATTAATTATCTCAATTTCATCATAGATATGAAATTTGATCGATATTTTAATTATTTCTATAATCATCGTATATCGATATCAAGCATCTGAGAAAATCGATCAAGAAATATTAGATGTCGAATAATTTCGTCACGACCCAATGAAATTCAATGCTCAATCTCCCGATATTATTAGAATTTAGATGATTCGAAAATTTCAGGAGCCGGAAGAAAAGAAATCTATGAGAGATCATGTCGAATAATTTCATCAACGAAGATGAATATTCATTCCTAGTGATGATTATATCAAAGAAATATCCCATATAATCAAAAGATATATCAAAGAATCAATGGAGACGAAACCAATAATCCATCAAAATCGTCCTATGAAGGGAATTAAAGGAGACCAAAAGGAAGACAAATGGAGACAAAAGGCTACTCTTGGATCTCTCCATCAAAGAAATAAATATGGAATCTATAATTCGTTAAAGAGTCGACGATTGGGGCTCCGAACATTTCCTGCATTCTACGCGCCAGTTTTTCTGCGGGGTACTGCACCAGCTAGTCGACCTTCCTGCGCTTCGCAGTGGCTTCTTCTTGTTGACGATCTCCCGCACGGGTTTCATTCATGCTATCGCGCTTCACGTCATGCAGGTCCTGTGTGGGACTGTGAGGGTCTGGGGTACCAGGGTTTAGGGTTTGAAGTTAAACCTTGTTCAACCTGTCTTTGATGGATGGAAGCAATCGCCCAAGAATCCTCATGCAGGTTCGCGCCAAATATCAACACAGACAGCATACTCCCGGACCAAGCGAACTCCCCAATGTAACAGTCCACTTGTGCAAGCCGCCAGACATTGCATGTGGCATTGTGTTCTCTGGCTATCCCCTCGCAGCTGTGATGGGGGCACAGGTCGCACGCATCATCTGGCGCAACTTCAAGATCAACTCTCGAAAGTCGAAACCTTCACAACCCCTAGTTGGGATGTTCCCCCTTATACTAACAGTCCTTATTGGGGTACTATCATAGGGGGGTACCATAATCCCTATTAAGGACCGTTAGAATAAGGGGGAACATCCCCAGCCCCCTAAGCAACAAACTCTGCGCCAAGGGTCTGCCGCAATAGCCTCGAAGGCAGCTTTGCCTTGGTTCCATCCAGAATCTGAAGGTGCCCCCTCAAACCCTCAAACCCTCAAACCCTAAAACCCTAAAACCCCAAAACCCAAAGCCCTAAAACTTAAAGCCACCCTCATCCTTCAACATCCTGGAAGCCACATGAATTCTGGCTCAAAGCCGATATAAACCCTGAACGCAAAACCCTAAACCCTAAACCCAAAACTCTAAACCCACGTGGCTTGCCACCCTGGCGAGGAGTGGAAAAGAGCAGGGAGGGAAAAAATCACAGCGCTCCATGCTCTATTCCGTATTTCGTGGGTTTCGTTTTTAGGGTTTAGGGTTCCTTCGTCGTCCATGTTGCTGGATAGCACACTCTTGCCTGATCGCAGAGAAGAGGAGGCAAACGGGTACCTGATGTGACGCTCGGTAATACTACGCGCCAGAACCCAGCCATCAGACCGTCTATCCTCTGGTCCTTAGGGTTTATAGGGTTTACTTCATAGCTCCAGATATGTTGCGGTGACTCTGGCTGGCTGCGCAAAGGAATTCCGAGCTGTCGATTGCACTGTACATGCGGGACTGTACCCGTCATCCCGCTTGTAGCATGTGGGCAAGAACGCCGACAGCTACAAGCGAAAAGGATGCAGTCGCACAAAAATTAAGCATGGACTGCCCTAAACCCTATAAACCCTAAACCCTAAACCCTCAAGTGTCCGGTGTCAAGCTGGCCCAAGCTTCCGTCGAGGGTTCAGGAGATGTGCGCGGGTCGACTTGGTGACCAGGCTGGGTTCATTTGGTCCCCAAGGTCCTCCCTCCTGATCCGAGAGCCAGCTGCCAGAGGAGCCCTGCCGAATGCACGAGCCAGGATGTTGAAGGTTGCTTGCGGGTTGCCTCGTGAGCCGGAGCCTCAGGACTTGAGAAAAGAGAGAGGAAGTGCAGAAAAACCGAAAATGCCAAAAACAAAAAAAGAAAACGACTCTGAGCCTGGGGCCCTTCTGGATTCGCTCCTCGACGATTTCGATGAGACTCCGGCCTCTCCTGCAGAGACCAGGCTGCGAAATAGCTGCCACAGCGTTGCAGTACAAAAAGTAGCACAAGTGTAGCAACGTCAGACCCTGCAAGCTGCACTGTGTAGCCAAGGTTTTGAAGAACTTTGGCCTTTCGGTGTCTCCTGCTTCGAAGTATCCTCGAAGCAATAGCACAAACTCATCGTCCTGCAGAGCCGCCCGGATGATGCGAGGATCGTCTTCGTCATCGAGCCAAGCAAACTTTTCCTGCACGGCTGCCATCACGACCTCGAGCTGAGTGCTGAAGTAGGTGGTCACAACGTTGCACGAGTCTTCCGGCTTGTAGCGAAAGTCCCTAAGGACGACCTGGGCGTTCGAGACTGTCAACGAGACTAAGTGCAAGCAGCAAAGACACGGCTCACACTGAATGTAGGCAGAGAGCATGCCAAATGCCATCACAGCCTTGCAGATGAGCGAGGGTGTCAACGCCAACCTGATGGTCCTTCAGCCTCAATATGGGTATGAGTTCTGACCACTGGACATACCGCAGCACCATGTAGCGGAACGGCTTGTTGGAGGACAGGTGGCCTGGCCTGAGCTGTCGAGTGTGACCAGCTTGCAACCCCGCTTCAGCGTGTTGTTCACGAGACCTGCGTCTGAGGCAACTTCACGCGAACCCGCATGACCAACCATCTGCTCCACTGCGTTGGTGATGTAACTTGTCCGGCTTGCCACTGTCCGATTCTCACCCATGGCTCGGCAGCTCAAGAGTTTGGTGACCTCGACTAGTGACTTGGAAGCCTTGGGGAACCTTTGAGCCGACACTTTTGAAACCCGATGGCATTCATCTCACCTGGCTTGTTTGGCATGTTCGTTCGCCAGCCGCTTGGCTCAATTCGATTGGGTCAAAGGTGGCCTCACAGCTCAAGCTCAAAGTCGGGGTGGTGGCTAACTAGCGGAGGCATGAAGTCAGCTATGACTCCGCCGGTCAAGGGGTTGCAGGACGGGGCTGAGGGGGCTGGGCCGTTTTAGGGTCTTCTGGCCGTGAAATGAGAACAGTGAAGCAAGCTCCATGACATCCTAGTAGGGTCTATAAGGTTTAACGAAGGGGAACGCCCTTGCAGGCCTGGCAAAATGAAAGCTCTGCTGAGCGCAAGCGTGCGGCAGTCTCCTCGGAATGCCTCACCGTGGGCATAGCAGATGATACCTGACTGGTTTAGGGTTTAGGGTTTAGGGTTTAGGGTTTAGGGTTTAGGGTTTAGGGTTTAGGGTTTAGGGTTTAGGGTTTAGGGTTTAGGGTTTAGGGTTTCGTATGGGTGTTCGTCGAAGGATAGCGCGCTTTATGCCCTCTCAGCTGGACCCCCTCATTAAACCTACAAGCGTTTCGGAGGTGTCGTCTAACGTCTACTATAGGGGCCTAAATAATTAGAATAGGACTCTGGGAGGTATTAGAGTATAATTACAAAGGAACCATAAGGGAATACGTTTAGTCTTTCTTGCGACCCCTATACTAAGTGAATGAGAAGGGGCTGATGTCCTGCTGCGCGAGCTGGACATAAAACTTCGCCACGCGCTTGCGGTCATGGAGGAAGAGCCTGCGGCAGAGGCTCTGAGGTTCGGGTGCCCCACCGCCAAATTGGAAGCCCAGATTCCCTAAACCCTAAACCCTAAACCCTAAACCCTAAACCCTAAACCCTAAACCCTAAACCCTACCTAAACCCTAAACCCTAAGTTTGGGGGTTTAAGGGTTTATGGTTGAGGGTTTGGGGTTTTGGGGGTTTAAGGGTTCAGGGCAACCCAACGCCACACTCAACTTGATCCGGCCGGGCGGCTGAGGTGCTTTTCGGGATTCAAGGTTTCGAGTTTTCGGGGTTGGGGGGGGGGGGTTTAGGATTTAGGGTTTAGGGTTATAAGGGTTTAGGGTTTTCAATTGAGGGTTTAGGGAACCAGGGCCCTGGGCGTTCTGGGGCTTCGACCATGGAACCCCAACCGGTTGGGGAGCGGGCCTACAACGCTCCCAGATTCACAGGCTTTTGGTAAGCAGGTTTCGATTTCGGGTTTAGGGGGGTTTAGGGTTTAGGAAGCTTTTTACGGAGTTTGGGGTGGGTTTTAGGGGGTTTAAGGGGGTTTCAGGGGGTTTAAGGGGGTTTAAGGGGGTTTAGGGGGCTTAGGGTTTAGGGGGGTTTTAAGGGGGTTTAGGGGGGTTTAAGGGGGCTTAGGGCTTAAGGAGAAGTGCCACAAAGGGCTCCCAATGGGCTGCCAGGAAGCTTGCCAAGGCGGCCCACGCGAGGGAACCCTCCGGGAAGAGGACCGGAGCCGAAGACCCAGGACATGAATCCTCTTAGGGTTTAGGGTTTAGGGTTTAGGGTTTAGGGTTTAGGGTTTAGGGTTTAGGGTTTAGGGTTTAGGGTTTGGTGAACTTTGGGTTCAGGGTTTAGGGTTAAGGGTCAGTAGGGTTTAGGGGCAAGGGTTCAGGGTTTAGGGCTTGAAGGGTGCATGCGGATCCACTTAGGGGTTCCCTGTTTTGCTAATAATTAGCTGCTAATGGGGAAGGACCAGTGACGGTTTAGGTGGAAGCGGAGGACTCGGAGGGCTCAGACTAGCTGCAATTTCTGACTGGGAGTGTCTGGAGGTTCTTTAGCTTGGGGTTCATTAAGGCGTGTATAACTGTAGAACGGAGATGAGCTGAGAATCAGGGTTTAGCTTGAAGGCAAAGCAACACGAAAATGAGTTCGGGAGTAGATTTGGGGTGACCACTTCCCTAATCTGTGCAACGAGGGCAGGAGTGGAGATGACTTACTACAAGAAATCCCTACGAGAGTTCGACTGCAAGGTCCGCACACAATCCGGATGACCGCAGCATGGGAGGGTTCAGGACTTTGGATATTTGAGTAGGAGACGATGCGGTAGAGGCGGCTTCCGAATGTTTGGAGGATGATGCGGACGCATGCGCACAACTGTTGAGGAGAACCGGTCGGGCCAACACTTACGTGACATCCTCCCTGTCCACACCCCTCGCAAAACCAAGCCACACTCAAGACTCAAGCCCCTGAACCCCCAAACCCCCCAAACTCAGCTACCTAAACCCCAAAACCCGAAACCCTCGACCCTAAACCCTAAACCTAAACCCCAAACCCTAAACCCTAAACCCCAAGTTGAAGCCAGCGAGGATCCTGATCTCCCAGGTCTTGGGCGGAGATTCTTTGGGAACCCTGCGGCCTGGGTCGGTGCGCAGGAGCATGTCACAAACGTAGTAGGCCCGCGTGCCATCCGCGAGCTTCAGGGTGTAGTAGTACCTGATGTTCGGGCCCATGGTGTACTCTTACTATGCAGGAGATGTCGGGCATGATCTGCTATCTTTAGGGTTTTAGGGTTTAGGGGAAGACTGCTCAAGATCCAAGCAGCTTATCTTAAGTTTAAAGCCTAAACCCTAAACCCTGAACCTTAAACCCTCAACCTAAACCCGAAACCCCAAACCCGAAGCCATTGCAACCCAGCGACTCGAAGACCTCCGTGCTGTTTTCATTCCAACCGTCTATGGCCTGCGAGACTTGGTTTAGGGTTTAGGGTTTAGGGTTTAGGGTTTAGGGTTTAGGGTTTAGGGTTGAAGCAAGCCATTCTTGCAAGGGTTTAAGCGGGAATGCCTGTACTTGAAGCAAGTGTTTAACCTAAACGATTTCGGATTGCTGGGTGAAGGGTTGAGAACTAATACTCCAGTCTTTCGGCTGAAGGAGCCATCCGTTGAATTGAGGCTCAGAGTATCCGGGACGCAGGGTGGACACCGATTCTGATTGAGAGAAGAACTCTGAGAACTACTGTAGGGTCGGAATAATCACGAAAAAATATTCCCTTATGGTCTCTTTGTAATTATACCATAATAACCCCCAAACCCTATTCAAACTATTCAGGCCCCAATACTAGACAGCGAAGCCTCCACTTGGATAGCATCGCCATACAGCTGGCTCAGTTCTCGCGCGTCGAAGTCCACAGACACAACCTGCAGGGGCAGCAAGTCTCAAGCCCTCAGATTTGGGCCATTGAGTTGGTTTACTAAGCACTTGCAAAAAGCACCTTGCCCTGTAGTTCCTCAATTGGGTGGCTTTGCCGCCTTGGACGGCGTGGGGTGGGAGAAAAGTGTTAGATGGCCCTCCACAATCCGGCCAAAGCTGCTCTTCGCACCTCACGAAGCTTTAACCTTCACGGCATCTACGCCCTATCACAGGAAACCCTAAACCCTAAACCCTAAACCCTAATCCCTAAACCCTAGCCTTCGAGATGCGCTCATGGATCCACTTGCTGCCAGAAGGAGCACACACTTTGAGGTCCGGATAGCGCGCCTTGCGAACGTCGGGGATCTAAATATCTGTTTGGGGCCTTAAAGTTTAGGGTTTAGGAATCAGGGTTTAGGGTTTATATAGGGTTTAGGGTTTAGGGTTAATTAGGGAGCAGGGCTAACTGGCTCTCAGAAGAGGATTTGGGAATTGGGGTTCCCACCCCCCACCCGCCCAATCCCGAATAATTCCTGGAAGGAGTATATCTGGGGATGTGAAGTACCTGATGAAGACTTGGCCCATACAAATGGGGCAACATTGCCGACAATCATGGGATTACAGGCTTTACAGGCAGCCACCTTTAAACCCTAAACCCTAAACCCTAAACCCTAAACCCTAAACCCTAAACCCTAAACCCTAAACCCTAAACCCAGTCTCTCTGTGCACCTTCCAAACTGCGGCATCTTCGCGGTGGTAGGCATTCGGGACCACCAAGACAGCCGGCCTTCCCAAGGCCTCCACCTCCAGGAGTGCTCATCAAATGAGTGGCAGTTTGGAGTTTGGGTTTAGGGTTTAGGGTTTAAGGTTTAGGGTTTAGGGTTTAGGGTTTAGGGTTTAGGGTTTAGGGTTTAGGGTTTAGGGTTTAGGGCTTACAGTTTACAGTTTACAGTGAGGGCTGACATCTGGTCCTTAAGGGAGGAGGCGGGGGGGGGGTTCATGTGCGGTAGGTACCTAGGGAACCTTGTGGAGGCTTAGGGAGCCTCAGGGAGTAGTGTGGAGTATTCGGGTTACTAGGGAACCTTGGGTTACATACCTCTTCTGAACCTTATGGAAGCCTCCATATTGAGGGCCCCATACTAAGGGCTTCTGGCAAGGTTTGCAGGGCTGAACCCTGATTTCCCCCTGAACACTCGAAAACAAAGAAGAACAAACCACCCACCCAACCACTTTGCTTGAGGACCCCAAATAATTGAAGATCATAATCCCTATATTACCCGTAGAAGGAAGAATATTACATACTTTTTGGGGTTCTTAAGCAAATAGCAGCCGAGCAACACCCAACAAGCCCGAAGCCCCGCCTGCTGCATCAAAGGCGGCTCCAATGCCACCGCCGAGAAAACCACCAAGTCACGTGAGCCCGGCGGCCGGTAGAGGGTCATGTTCCTCATCCTCAGGTCTCCGCTAATTCCTCTTGAACAGGGGTTAGGGTTTAGGGTTTAGGCTTTAGGGCTCACGGCTTAGGGTTTAGGGTTTAGGAACAGGGTTGAGGGTTCAGGGGCTCTACGGGAAATGCAGAGGCTCTACTGCCTTTCCCTCATCACAAACCTTCAAACCGACACAACGAATCATGTTTTCTACATTGGCTCTGAACAACTTGTTTGCCAGTCGGGGTCGTAATAAGAAGTCCTTGGGAGGAGGGGAGGGGGGGTTTCTCTCTGCTCAATTGCAAAGAGCTTGTAGCCAAACCTCCTCCTGATCTTGACCAGTTTTTAATGCCGTTACTTTTGGCAACCTCTGGCCCAAGGTAGGCCTGCCTAAAACCCCGCCCCCGCCGCGCCCCCCGCCGCCCTCCCCCCCCCCCGCCCCCCCGCCCCCCCCCCGCCCCCCCCCCCCCCGGCCCGCCCCCCCCCCCCCCCCCCCCCCCCCCGCCCCCCCACCCCCCGCCCCGCCCTCCGCCCCCCCCCCCCCCACCCCCTTCTGCTCCCCCCCCCCCGCCCCCCTCCCCGCGCCGCCCCCCGCCCCGCGCACCTCAACAGTAACATTCGGCTACGCAGGGACACTAAACCCTAAACCCTAAAACCCAGAACCCAAAACCCTAAACCCTCAATCCTAAACCCTAGAACCCTAAAACCCTACTAAGGACTGTCTTGTCCTGAGTAGCTTTTTCGTAGTGAGCAGACAAGGCTCGGAGGGCCATTGGACGCGCCTTTCGCGGAGACTTGCCACAGGTGGCCCGGCGCGAGTTCCTCCCGGAAGGTTGAAGTCTACGTTAAGTGCAAGAGATTACTCTCTTTATTGTATTTAAGAATATGTATTCCGTACTCTAGATTACATGTTATCTGGCTACTTAATGCATGGTTGTAGGATTCAGGATTTGGGGATTTAGAGCGGTTCCTACATGGGCGTTTCCGAGTTCAAGGGTCGTTTCTTGGGGGGGGGGGGGCTCCTACACTATCCTGGTTTAGGAATTAGGGTTTAGTGGTATGTATGGAGATCCCCGACGCAAGGCTCCGTAGTTGTGACAAGGACCCTCAACTAAAAGGGACCACAATTTGAAGACTCCAAGAGAATCTACCCGAAGATGCCATTTGAGCGTTGCATGCGCTGCGTGCAGGACGGTAACCTTAGCCCCTATAAACCCTGACCCCCCCACCCCGAACCCTTAAACCCTAAACCCTTCTACTCCTAAACCCTAAACCCTAAACCCTAAAACCTAAACCCTAAACCCTAAACCCTAAACCCTAAACCCTAAACCCCCTTTACCGAAATTGACAGTGGGCCCACAGGCCTGTAGGCCGCTCAGGGCTGGCACCACATGGGACTCCCAAGGCTCTTTGGCCTTCGCTGCAGCCTGAACCTCCGCAGTGCTGTATGGGGTTGGGGTGTAGGGTTTAGGGTTTAGGGTTTAGGGTTTAGGGTTTAGGGTTTAGGGTTTAGGGTTTAGGGCTTAGGGTTTAGGGTTTAGGGTTTAGGGTTGGATTAAACCCTGAACCCTAAACCCTAAACCCTGAACCCCAGATGACATGTTCTGCTTCGGGCCGATCCTCTGCGGGAGGCTCGGGCTTGCGCGTGGCAGCTGAATAAAGCAACGCCGCTGCGGCCTCGGAAAGCGGCTTTGAGTGCAAAGGGCGGGGGCGGTGGGGAGGGGAATCCCTGAACCCTAGTTGGTTCCTAGTGCATGTATTTACCTTGTTTAGGGTTTGAGGTTTAGGGTTTAGGGTTTAGGGTTTAGGGTTTTAGGTTTTAGGGTTTAGGGTTTAAAGTTTAGGGTTCTCAAAAGTGCCGGGGCCCAAAACCACAACTCGGCCCAGCAGCTACAGCGCATCCACTGCACAGGGGATGATCGGCAAGGAGGCCGACGGCTTCCATGGCCGGACGCACCCTGTGGAACTTGAAAACCGAGATCCTAAACCCCAAACCTTAAACCCTAAACCCTAAACCCTAAACCCTAAACCCTAAACCCTAAACCCTAAACCTTGGAGTTTTTGGGGTTTCAGGGATGACACTTGGGATGTTCCCCCTTATACTAACAGTCCTTGTAATCGGGATTACAATCGGGGCTAGCATGCCCTAGCCCTGTACTCGAAGACTAGGACGGCAACGTACGGGAACTGTTGACCAATGGAACAGTGAGGCAAAAGACGCGACATGCCCCAGAGGGTCCATTTTTGTAGTACCATTCTGGAATTAGGTACCCAAAAAACCTATTTAGCATGGTTTCTGGGTGCCAAATTCCATGATAATACTACAAATGGACCCTCTGGGTGCTTTAAAGAGAGCCAGAGGCAAGAGTTCCTTCGCGTCCGGCTGGTGCACAACGAACATGCTTTGGGTCCGCGCGCGGCGTTGTCTACGGGCAAGGCCCATCGATCCCCCATGCCTGAGGCCATGGCTCGTCCTAAAGGGCCTTGGATGAAGCTGCGCGCGCCGTGGTTCCAGGAAGAGTCTTGCAGGCATGCGGAAAAATGCCAGCTCAACGACGAGGAAGCCAACAAGTTTTGGCTTTCGCCGGAGCTGGTTGGAGAACACCGCTTGCAGCCGGCGCATCGCAGGCTCTCGGCAATGATCCAGACCGTCAAAAGAGCGGAAACAGCAGTACAATCGGACATCAAGGAACTTCAAGCGGTTGTGCACAAATAACGCGGTAGCTCAGCACACCTCCTGTTGATATGCGGTTTAGGGTTTAGGGTGTCAGGGATAGGCACCAGGAAGAATCATCGTCACGTCCCGGGGCTTCTTCCTGGCAGCTAGCAGCCTCTAATGTCTCACGATGGCACGTCGGGCACTTCTTTGGGAAGTTGAGGAGCCCTGAGGGTTTAGGGTTTAGGGTTTAGGGTTTAGGGTTTAGGGGTTTACACAGGCTTACCTCCTCCAGGCTCCTGTAAGGACACGACAACTCTCGGAGCTCAACCTGTTTCGGGTCGCCTGCCCCATCATCTCCCATCTCAGCCCTAACCCTAAACCCTAAGCCCTAAGCCCTAAGCCCTAAACCCTAGACCTTAAACCCTAAACCCTAAACCCTAAACCCTAAGCCCTAAGCCCTAAGCCCTAAACCCAGCATCGAGTCTTTCCCTCTCAGCTTTTCCTGGCGCACTCAAGGGCCGCTAATGGCCCGACTTCAGCGAAGCTCGTGCTGCTCGCCACCCTGCTTTGGAGGCGGAATCCACAGGAGAATCCATGGGTTTTCGAGGTTGCACTAGAGGGCTTAGGTTTAGGGTTTAGGGGTTAGGGGCTAGGGTTTAGTTTACAGCTCTTAGTTTAGGGTTTAGGCTTAGGGTGTAGGAGCAATGCAACACCCTTGTCATCGACTGGCGCCGTTGTGCAACTCCGCCTCTGCGCTACCAAATACATCTCACGGCCTACTCTGCGGGCAGTGGCCGACAAAGGTAGCAGTCATTGAAGGTGTCGAACTCCATCTCGACGACCTCTCTTCAAATGATTAAAACCCTAACCCCTAAACCCTAAACCCAAAAATGCCCCAACACCCACAACCCTAAACCCTAAACCCCAAACCCCAAACCCTAAACCCTAAACCCGCACTGTTCTATGCAAAGGATGCCTCTGGCTGGAATCCGGCTTCTTTCAGCAGGGAGAGCGCCTTTTCTCTTCCCCACATCATGCCTGCACGTAGGTCATCATGGTCATCATGTGGACTATCATGTTAAGCTCTAGCAAAGTGCGCCTCATGCTGATTTGACCCGGAGAGCTTGAGTACTCGGTAACAAGCTAAGAGAGCACATGTTCAGCCATGTTGCCCAGTCCCGGGCCACCATCATTCATTCCCTGCGGCATGCAGTGCATCCTCATCAACAGATGCCGAACAAGTTCGAACATGCTGAAGCAGCATGAGGGACACTTGATTCCCTGATGCAGTGTTCATGCATGTGAGTGCATGTACCGATGCCAACGCCTGAACTGAAAAATCCGGGACGGAGCCAGCACGAGTCATGCTCGCCAAACAACCCGAAACCCTAAACTGTAGCCAGGTCTCAATGACACTGCATACAGGAAGGGCGCCATGGGATGCGTGATGTTCTTTGCAACACCTTTTGCTCAATGCGAGAACGCACACACGCAGACACATCAAATGCAAATGATAGTGCGCATGGAGACGTACAGAAATCCACTCATGAAAAAAATCCGGCCTGTCTCTGCACGAATGTCCACCATGGCGAAGTACCCATCAGCCTGCTGCACCAGCTCAAAGAAGTGTCTAGTTTCAAGGTACGCAATTGCGATTTGATTGTTTTCCTTCATTCGATGCCCACCACCCCTGCAAGTGTCAACCCCGTCGGTGTGAGGGGTGGTCGGGTCGTATACCAGTCCTACATGGGGTTTCCGACATTCGGGGTACCTTATTGGGGTCCTTATTCTATGGGGATCCTACTATTTGGAGATCTATATTGCGGGCCCCTTATTTTCGCAAAACCCCCCACCTACCGCTGCAGTCGGCCTTTAGGACCCGGCGGCACTCACGCAAGGTGGCTTCAGGGTTGGTCAAGTCATGGATGACATCGAAGCTGGTGACCTGGGCAACAAGTGAGGTTTCGCGCTTGCTTGAACGTTCATGGGTAGTTCTCAATAAACCCTAAACCCTAAACCCTACACCCCACTTAGATCGCCAGTCGCAGCTACACATGAACCTCCATGTCGGGTTGCAGGATCTGGGAGCCGACGTTGACAATCAACCAGACGGAAAAGTGGAAGGTTTAGGGTTTAGGGTTTAGGGTTTAGGGTTTAGGGTTTAGGGTTTAGGGTTTAGGGTTTAGGCTTTAGGGTTTAGGGTTTAGGGGTGGCTGTCAGCCAAGCATCCAAGTCAAATTTTGCCGTCCACGCGCCACCGTCTCCAAAGCTTGCCGCATCACCACCTTCAGGCACGACCGCATGCCAGGCTAGACAGTCGTCACCCTTAAACCCTTAAACCCTTAAACCCTTAAACCCTTAAACCCTTAAACCCTTAAACCCTTAAACCCTTAAACCCTTAAACCCCTAAACCCTTAAACCCTTAAACCCTAAACCCTAAACCCTAAACCCTAAACCCTGCCATGAGCATGAAGCACGTGAATGCCGCGGGCAGAAACTGAGCAGGCTGCAAATGAACTTTGCATTGGTCAAGTTTGCTGCTTCGGCCTCCCACAATGCTTCTGGATGAGCTGATTCCAGGTCACAGTGCAACAACAGTGGGGGTTTAGGGTTTAGGGTTTAGGGTTTAGGGTTTAGGGTTTAGGGTTTAGGGTTTAGGGTTTAGGGTTTAGGGTTTAGGCTTAGGGTTTAGGGTTTAGGGTTTAACCCTTTCTACTTCAAGGGGGTTTAGGAGGCAATGTAAGGGAACAAACCCCAATCCAATCCTCCCAACCACTGACTGTCCTGTCCTTCTTGGTGGCTGCATCCACGGAGGGTGCCCAGGCATCGATCCTGGGCTGGCTTAAACTTCTTGGGTTTAGGGTTTAGGGTTTAGGGTTTAGGGTTTAGGGCTCAAAGCTGCCATAACAGAGGTACTTCGTTAAACCTGCCTCAACACCTACAGTACCCCGGGGCGTCGGATCTTTGGCTGCATTTTAGCACTCGGCGAAAAAATGCTTTAAATTATACCTCATGAAGAAGACCCTACAACCCCAAAAGGCTCAGGATCTAAGCTTGCCGTAAAGAACCACAGAAGATCGACCCTAAATCCTAAAGGCTCATGAGAGACAGATAGATGCATAAACCTTACTATAAGCCCTATAGACCCCACAAGCCCTAAACCCTAAACCCTAAACCCTAAACCCTACCCTGCGAACCTAAAAATGCCGGAACGTGGGATCCTAACGTTAACCAGCCCAAAAGATGTTGGTTGGGGCACACCCTAAACCCTAAACCCTAAACCCTAAACCCGTGTCCTCATCTCCATCGTATCCACGACAGTGATGTGCTCTCTTTCCCAGGCCGAGCGCCAAAGTAAGTCAGCGCTTCGGGTTTAGGGTTTAGGGTTTAGGGTTTAGGGTTTAGGGTTTAGGGTTCGGGGTTCCGGTCTCAGGGTGTAGGGTTTATAGGGTTAAGTTTCAGGGTTCAGGGTTGAAGGTTTAGGGTTCAGGGTTTACAAGGTTCATACAGTTGAGTGGTTCGGTGCTTTACAAAAAATAGGAGGTTGAGGGTTTAGGCTAAATAGGGTTCAGTGCTTTAAAACCTCAAGCTCCAAACCGCAAACCCCCCGAAACAACAACAGCAAAACAACAAACTAAACCCCAAAACCCAAAAGCCTACACCAGCCAAGCGTCCCCACGACCTCTGCATTCGGAAAGCGCTGCGCGATCCTTGGTTGCAAGGTCCTACAATGCGTTGCATCAAGCCACAACCCGCAACCCTAAACCCCAAACCCGAAACCCCAAACCCCAAAAGCAAGCCTGTTCCTTCTCCAAGGCTTTCGATATGGAGCCGAAACTGAGATACCAATGTAAGAGTACTATACTCTCGACGATGTAACCCTAGCACCGCAACATCAAGTTCCTGAACGAGACCCCCGGAAGCCGAACGGCAAGAACATAGCCACTGTTTGAAGCCCACGGGGAACATAGGTTGAACCCTAAACCCCAAACCCTCAACCATACGCCCTAAACCTCAAACCCTCAACCCTAGACCCCTACCCTAAACCCTAAACCCTCCACCTCAAGCCCTAAACCCTAAACCCTAAACCCTAAACCCCAAACCCTAAACCCTAAACCCTAAACCCTAAACCCCAAACCCTAAGCCCTGAGTACCCAAGGAAGGCTTCTTCCAGGCCTTTTGCGGTCAGAGCTTCAAACAGGGCGCAGTGCCCTCACCACATCCCAGGTCCAAGACTGCTGCCTCACCCAAATTTGCGGTTTAGGGTTTAGGGTTTAGGGTTTAGGGTTTAGGGTTTAGGGTTTAGGGTTTAGGGTGATTGTTGGAGATTCACGGGTGGTGGTTCTTAAGTAGGGTTCTAAGGGCCCGAGATAAGGTTAGAACCAGTCGTAGTTGTAGCCGCCATACTTGTACCCCCACTTGAGCTGTTCTAGAAGTCGACCCTAAACCCCAAACCTAGTATCCTAAACCCTAAACCCTAAACCCTAAACCCTAAACCCTAAACCCCAAACCCCAAACCCCAAACCCGGTCTCACCTTTATGTCAGAGTTGGGATGTTCCCCCCTTACACTCACAGTCCTTAATAGGGATTCTAGTACCCCCTATTAGAATCCCTATTGAGGACTTGTAGTAGAAGGGGGAACATCCCAATGTCAGAGCATGTTGAAGTTAACTTTCTGCTTGCGAGGTGCCTTGCCAGCCTCTAACTTCTTGAAGATCTCTCCTCCTCCGAAAGGGCGTCGCTTAAGCCTGTCCCTAGGAGGTCTCCAAAGGACAGGCGCAGTACGACAAGAGGAACATGTACTGAAGGAACCGGAAAGGGAGAACTGACCAACTAAGAGTCGTGGCCCGGGTCTCCAGTCCTGCCAGCAGCGGCAGAAGCTTCGGAACCAGCAGCTTTTCGTGCTTGCCATCGGCCAGCTTTCCTGCAAGCATCACACTCCGCCTGAACCCTGAACCCTACACCCGACGTTTTGGGAGGTTCAGTTCCGTCAGGAAAAAGCAAAGTCAGGAACTTCGAGACCAACATCGGACCATTCTGCAGCCAACCCGAACCCTACACCTTGAACCTAAACCCTAAACCCCAAACCCCAAACCCTAAACCCCAAACCCCAAACCCTAAACCCTAAACCCTAAACCGTATTCAGATGAGAGGCCCATCCAAGCGCCGAAGGGCCCGTAACAGGAAGGCCTGGTCTGCTTTCGGGTTCAGGGCTTTGGGCCAGAAGGGGGGGGTACATGTAGAATGATGAGGGTTTAGGGTTTAGGGTTTAGGTTTAGGGTTTAGGGTTTAGGGTTTAGGGTTTAGGGTTTAGGGTTTAGGGTTTAGGGTTTAGGGTTTAGGGTTTAGGGTTTAGGGGCTTCCAAGCCCCTAAACCAGGTGCTGCCAAGGATCGGCACGCCGCCGCCACGTTGAGTGGCCTCCACCACCTCTGGAGTATTGTCAACCCTAACCTATACCCGAAAGCCCAAAAGTCTAACCCTGAAATCCCTATTTACCTAAGCCCTAAACCCCTAAACCCCTAACTCCCTAATTACCTAAACCCCAAACCCCGAATTCCGAAACCCTACTTGAAGGCTGCCTTACTTATGACCTCCACTTTTATCTGCTCGTGAACCTCCAAGTAAGGCTACCTTACTAATACCCCCCCCGCCCCCACTTATCCTCCACTTCTAACGAAGTAAACGTCATGGCCGGGGCCTCCTCGAAAGCACATCTGGTCAAGAGCGGCAGCTCCTGATTTTTGAAACAGACGGTGCTGCAGCTGATCCCAACGCTGATCCCTTTCATTCTTCTATTCGTAAATGCGTATGTTATATTGTATTGAGTCATATTATCTTATGTTATGTTGTGTCATATGGCCGCTCATCTAAGGGTCAGAGGGTCTGGTTCGACTGATGCTCATATCATGATATAAATGTGATACTAAGATGATTCTAATATAAGGTAATGATATCGTATGATTATGTTACTTTGATATGTTCTGGTCAGCTGCTTATATTAGCATGTCAAAAGATTTCGTATTGACACGTTTTTCCTGTATTGCTGTGGTCGTTTCTTGTTATTTTCCGCTATATTATTACACCAAAAAGTACTATAATATTATACTCTTATCTTCGTATATTCGTATAGTATTGCATTACTAGATTACAATAGTATTTTTTCGATTATATTCGAGTAGTCTCAAATTATTTTGTCATATTGATATATTCTTCTGTTCTTAAATTATAGTTCGCTATATTCTTATACTCCTATGATATCATATTAGTGTACTATGATATTCTGATATTCTTATATGTTTATACTAATATGTTCGTATATGGGCGTATCATTTAAGTTTTTTATATGACTATTTCCTGATATGATTCTATGATTACATTTTTCTATTCTGATATTGTGATACTATGATTCTTCTACTCGTATACTCGTATATTCTTTCACTGTTACCCTAAACCCTAAACCCTAAACCCTAAACCCTAATGCTTCAGGGCCGACGTGCGCCTCGAAGTACAGGCCCATGCTGTCAAGGGCCTGGCTGGCAGGGTATGATTAAGGGGTATAAGGAGGGACCCCTAGAAGAGACCCGTATTCCCCTATATACACCCCTATATACATCTTATATAGTCCCCATATACCTAAGTAGCCTGATTATTGAGTGTCAAGTGTCCGCGCCTACCAGCTGGGACCGGCATGTTGTGCCAAGAGGGCGTTGCGCTGAGGGAAACCTGAACCCTAAACCCTAAACCCTAAACCCCAAACCCAAAACCCCAAACCCAAAACCCAAAACGCCCTAAGCCCTAAAACCCTAAAACACTGACATCATGGCGCTCGGGTGACCAAGCACCGGGCAGACTTGGTCTCTTCCGAGAGGTGATACTTTGGTGGGGACTCCTGCACCGGCGTCTCAATCCCCAAACCCTAAACCCTAAACCCCAAACCCTAAACCCGAAACCCTAAACCCTAAACCCTAAATCCTCAACCCTAAACCCTAAACCCCTGAGCCATTCATGAGCTAGGCTGGCCCTGAACACCCTCTGAAACATACTCCTGAATCGGATCCTCTGAAACCCAACAAGGGGAGATACATAAAATATCTCAAGGGCCACCCTAATGTAGGGGCCTTAACAAGTAGAATAGGGTTTTGAAGATTGTTATAGTAGAATCATACAGGGACCATGAGGGAATACTATGAGTAGTAATCATTCCGAACCCTACGTTAGATTTTGGAGAGCAGGGCTGGCGACCCAAGGCTGGCAGAATACTTCACCCCGCACGACTGCAATGATGACAGGGCTCGGACCCTCAAGCCCTAGGGTTTAGGGTTTAGGGTTAAACCTTACACACTCTTAACCCTGCGTAACTCACAAAACCCAAAAACCCTGTCTCTACCCTAAAACCCTAAACCCAAAACGCAAACCCTAGCTTAACCAAAAGCCCTAAGCCCATCGAGCCCACCCCGCCCCCCTCCACCCCCTCCCCCGACCGCCACCCCCCACAACCCACAACCCACAACCCGCAACGCGCAACCCACAACCCACAACCCTAAACCCTAACCCCTAACCCCTAACCCCTAAACCCTAAACCCTAAACCCACAACCAACATGTCCTCAGAGAGGTTGACAATCTTGCTACAGGCCAGGATGGCCATGATCTCCTGTGCACGACTTATTTGATGATACCCTAAAGTTTAGGGTTTAGGGTTTAGGGTTTAGGGTTTGCGGTTTAAAGCCCTATACCTTAAACCCTCAATAGAGGATACTCATGATGATGAACAAGTATTCGGGTTAGGGCTTCAGGTTTAGCGTAGATAGGGTTTCGGGCTTCATGAGTTTGGGTTTAGAGTTTAAAGTTTCTTGTTCTTAGAATCAGAGGGGAAATTCGGGTCGCAATTGCACATTTACATACAGGATCGTACAGGGACTCAACGTTATACCGGGATAATGTTGGTGACTGTTTAGGTTCATGTACTAGACAAAACCCAAAACCCCAAACCCCCAACCCCAAACCCTAAACCCTAAACCCTATTGGGAGGGGGAGAGACTTGCGACCCTGCAAGGACACAGCGCGCAGCTATGTAAGTGAGCTCGCAGTACTTGGAGGTTCATGGTACTTATTAACCAATTATAACTGTACTTATAACTGTACTTGCAACTGTACTTATAACCATATTAGGGCACTTAAGGGGCTTATCAGTGGGTTATACGTACAGTTATAATTATAATTGGTTAATAAGTACCATGAACCTCCAAGTAGTGTGCAAGTCATGGTTGAGGGCTTCGGGTTTGGGGTTTAGGGTTTGGTTTTATGCCCCAAGTTGGGTTTGATTCGACTTAAAAAACTCAAACGAACCGAAGCACCTTTTTTTAGCAAACAAGAACAAAAGCTGCTCATGATTCCAAGAAGCCCATTAAAACCCAAACTGTTTTGAGGTAATGCTACTTGTAAGCCTTTGGCTAGCGGATGCAAGCAGCACATAATTTGCTGGCACATTTTTTTAGATCTAGGGGTCGGGGTAGGGGGTTGAAAGCTGGGAAATCCTCAGCCCTAAGCCTCCCAGTATCTGGAGGTCGACAATCCTGGCCAGCAACGAAGGGACCGGAAGCAAGCCCCCCACAAAACGTGCCCTGCAGGTCCACAAGAGGACCGAGCAGAGTCCAGGCTCAAGGTCGTTTACCTCTCTCTATCCCAATACTGGCCCTGTTGAAGGTTCATGGGTAGTTGTAAAAAAGGATACAAGTACCCCACTTATCGCCCCAATTATATCTACCCATAAACCTCCAAGTATAAGGGGTATGGTAGGCAGGCAGGCATGGCATGCAAACAGATTGCCCAGCCGCCGCGTTCGCGATAACAGCTTGGGCGGCTTGGGGCTCCGCGAGACGGTCGCTGCCTCAAACTGTTCAACCTAAAGCCCGAAACTTCCGGGAACCTAAGAGTTAACTTACTAGAGCCCTTATAAGGACATAATCGTTAGGAGCTTGGGCAAGTCTAGGTAAAACCCAGAAGCCCCTAAATTCCCCGACGTGGCCCAGATCTGCTTGAAGGTTCCTGGGTAGTTGTAAGTAGGGTGCAGATATATGTACAATTACCTTACTTATCACATCACTAACAACAACTCCAAATCCCAATATAGACCCCAAAATAGGATTCCCTTGTAATAAGGACCGCCGAAAAGGTACCGCTAATCTCGGAAACCCTAAACCCTAAACCCTAAACCCTAAACCCTAAACCCTAAACCCTTAGCCCTAAGCCCTAAGCCCTAAGCCCATATTGCAAAACCCCGAATGGCCCAGATCGGTCCTCCACATAGCGCTGATTTAACCCGGCAGACTCGGCGATGGCAGCGACGGTCTGAGGCGCCTCAGAAGTGCTTTCGCGAAGGGTTTTTTGGGGGGTTTTGTTTAGGGTGTAGGGTTTAGGGTTTAGGGTTTAGGGTTTAGGGTTTAGGGTTTAGGGTTTAGGGTTTAGGGTTTAGGGTTTAGGGTTTAGGGTTTAGGGTTGAGGGTTGAGGGTTGAGGGTTGCGGGTTGAGGGTTGAGGGTTTAAGTTTAGGGATGTTCAGGGATGTTTAGGGTTTAGGGTTTAGGGTTTAGGGTTTAGGGTGTAGGGTGGGTCACAGTTGGTGCGGTGCCAGGCTCTCCCTTCGGATTAGCGTTGCTCGGCCAAGGCCCCTGCGGTGCTGAGCTTTGGCAGCAAACCTCGCTGAAGTGTAGACGCATGTTTGCACCGCTGTTGCTCTTCGTTCCACTGTTCTAATCGTGACTTCACTGCTCAGTGTGTGCCAAGTCGGCTTGGCAAGCTCTATAATATATGTCACCGAGATTAACGAGAGCAACAGCCACAGGTGCTATGTCGAGCGGCCACTGCGGCTGGCCACGCCCAGCGCCGTCGCTGCAGCGGCACCGTTGAGCAAGTCTGTAAGTCGCGCACTCATGGCAGCAGCCGGGAATATGTTTTAGTCGACTGCAGTAGGAAGGGAAGCAGGCCTCTAGACTCTGGACTATGAAGTAGAGAGGTTTTAGGGGGGAAGCAGCTTCCGACCTCTTTCAAGAGCTTGGAACTTGTCTGCAGCGTGACTTCCGCGGAAGTGTGGCTGAAGGAGCCAAGCGATGCAAGAATTCGAGGGTGTTAGAGGGATGCGGATACCCCGTATTTCCTCGGCTTCGAACCCCCAGCTTGTCAGGTCCCCATTGTGGGGTTTTGGGTTTGGGGTTTGAAATAGATTTATAATAGGGCGCGTAGATTTGAACAAAAACCCAAAACCCAAACCCCAATCTCCAAACCCTAAGACGCAATCTCGCCCCAAAAACCAAAGCCCTTCGCCAAAGGGCCCCAGTCAGAGGATCTTAAAGGGATCTTAAAGGGCCTTATTGGGGGGCGCGCTTGTCGTTTAGGGGGAAAGGAAAAAGGTGCTTTGGGGTGCTGAAGTCACTGAAGTCCCCCCCCACCCCCTGACCATCCCGTCTTCCCACAGCTTGCACGTCGAGCTCCGAGGCTCGGCATCTCCGGCTGCACAGGTCAACTCTAAGGGTTTACGGTACTGTTCAGGATCGTGCAACGATGGCCAGCCGAGGAAGTCGTGTCCAGGTGGCACTATCTCTGTGGCTCACAATCCGAACTCCTTTCGTCCTCTTGGGCCCTTTGCATCTCGAATTTTTTCAGATGACTCAAACGATAGGGAGGAGAAATCGCAAACCAGACCACTCCAGACCTTCAAGTAGCCCAAACCGGCCACACGTCACTTGACTTGCAACACATGTTGACACGGCTGTCGGCATGGTCTGCTCCTGCGAAAGCACTGGATGGCAGCTGCAAATCGCCGAGCAACTGTCCTGGGCAGACTTCCAATTCTGAACGGAAAATTCGATGGCAGCTTTTGGCTGCTGGCCCCATACCCTCAAGCGGTCAGTCCACTATTTGCCAAGACATGCTTCGTCTTCCCATCCTCGGAGTTTTTATGCTTCAGGGCTTGGGGCGCGAAGGCTCACCCACAAAACGCACGCTAGGTTCGGGACGTACTGGAAGTTCTCGAGCACAGAATATTCAGAGCTCGGCTTCGTGAAGTTTTGGGTCGAGGACAGTTCTCTCTCTCTCTCATATATATATATATATATATTTATTTATTTATTTATTTATTTATTTATTTGTTTATTTCTTTATTTGTTTATAGATAGATATATATATATATCTACAAATATGGGGGTTTACGAACATAAGGGACCCGTAAAAAAAAAAACCCAAAATAGTAGGATTCCCTTTTATTAAGGTACACCTAATTTCAGAATCCCCATATATGGTACTTACATGGAGGCATGCCAGGGCATCCTCCCTGTGGCTGGCCCCGGGCAGGCTCTAGCTGACCACAGTTTTTTTTTTTTCAGCGCGTCGTGGGGTGTGAAGGGCGATAATTCTGACAGGTTCGTGAGTTTAGGGTTTGAGGTTTAGGGTTTCGGGTTCAAAGGACAGTTGCAAGATCTGGGTTGAAACATCTACCTACAGTTGACCTACTTATATCCCCGTAAACAACCTCCCCTTGAACCTCCAAAGCAGGGTTTTGAGGTGTAGCTAGACTTGCAAGCACTCTCTCTCTCTACCCTTCAAAAGGGAAGTTCCTCAGTTCTTAAAACATTAGGATTCAGGGTTCAGGGCGTTAACAGAAACTTGCTCCCAGGCTCCCATCCTGGATCGCCCAGAAAGGGCCGTCGGCTGTGTACTTCATCTTGTACCCGTGCGCACGCAGGACGTCGACCAAGCACATGTCCTGGAACTTCGCCTCCGCAGCTGTTGAGCTCACACGACATATGTAGTCCGTTCGGTTTCGAACTTTGGAAGACCACTCTAGGTAGGGGTGAATAATCAATCTGTCCACGTGGACCACAAACAGGCAACCCAATCGAGAATCCAAGCTCTACTTTCATTGAGTGCTGTTTGGTTGGGGTCCAGATCCCCGGGGTCTAGATCCCCGCGGTGTGGTATGACCAAGGTGGCAAACAGCGACGTTTGAACACAACATGCAGACAAGAAAAGCCAAGAAAAGCCGAAAAGCAAAACAAAACAAAACAAATAAAGACACACAAAAAACTTTGCGAATATTTTGCTAAGATCCCACATTTTTGGCTGACATCAAACATTGTTTATTTCGATTTTTGTTTAAGTTGCTGTTTAAAAAAATTCCGTTTTTGATTGAATTGCGTGCTGAGAGGTATGTAGCATGCAACAAAAAATATATATACATACATATATATATATATGTGTATAGTCTATAGCCGAACAACGAAGCTGGGAGTCCCCTGCCACCCCCTGAACCCAAAACCCAACAGCATAACGTGCACCAGACTCTCTATAACCAGTATTTTGTCAAAAGCACACACACACACATGCGTACCCCCTCCCTGAAGCTAAGCAGTTTGACGGGCAACGCGGGGATCATCTGGGATCGGATAATCCAGAGATACTCGTACAGGAGACCCGGGCGAGAAGAACAGCGAAGCTAAAATCGAACACGCCCGCACCAAAACAGGACTGAACGAAGAAACAAGCCTTTCGGACTCACGGGTCAGTGGAGAAAGAGCTGACGCAGCACGATGCCTATGGAGAGATGATTCAATCCATTCCTACTGCAGGGCATGGTGGCCAGGAGACCCAGATTGTTCTTGCAAATTTATTCAGTATGCTACAGGCATTCTTTCTGCAGCGCAAGCCTTTCCGAGACATGCTTCTCAGCACGACGGCGACTCGCAAGGACAAGAGCTTGACATTCGCGCTTTACAGCGACGAGATCAATCCTGGCAACCCTTTGAGGATAGACAAGAGTCGAAAAGTATGCTGTCTTTATTGTTCCTGGTTGGAGTTCGGACCAATTCTGCTGTCCAAACAGCAGGCATGGCTGCCAAAGATCCACAGTTGTGGGCTCACCGTGTGTTTGAACCGCTTTGAACCCTTTGAAACACTTTTGGAAACACTTTCGAACCCTTTTCGAACCCTTTTAAACACTCCCTTGGAACCCTCTGAAGCCTACAGGCTTTACACCCTTTTTGAGCCCCAAAAAAGCCCGGCGCCCTGAAAACGCTGAGGAACCTTTTGGTTGCAGGGACGATTGACCGAGGCCCTCATTATCAAGGACCTTCCCAGCGCCGAAGATTGCGCGGTGCTCGAGCGGAAAAATGCTTGACGGCGCTTTTTTTGACTTTGTTGGAAATTCACACAGTTCGCTTTTTTTCAGCGGCATTATTTACCGCTCAGAAAAAAGTTATTTCCCGTTCGCAACGTGCTATGTCCTGTTCCTCGTTTCTGTGTATTTTGGCGAGTTTCTGAAACAGCTCTTTTTTCCAGGAAAAACGTGTTTTCTGACGAGCGACTGAGCGTTTTTTTGGGGAACAACTGAAATTGTTCCCCCTGAAGGTCCAGGTATACTGAGATTAGCGGGAAGGGGGGCTAGATTTTAAACTTGCCGGGGTCGATCCTGTGACCCCCGAATTTTAAGCTTGGTAGAATACCCTAAACCCGTAAACCATAAACCTACTCACGCCCCCAACCTCCTTCAAGCACCAGCAAGCCCACGGGTCTGGGAAGCCCAGCGGTAGTGCACCAGCAAGTAGACCCTCGATGGCAGAAACCCTGAAACCCAAACCCTGGGAGCCGAGATGCACCCCAAGCCCTTGAAAAAACGGAAGAAAGTCCTAGAACCCCCTCCCCCCGAACCCTACACCTCTGAACGCCTGCAGATCGAGAACCCCCAAAACTCTAAACCATAAACCCTAAACCCCCCAAACACCTGAACCCAACCAACCTCAAGGCTGCGGTGGTCGTGGCCCGACTCGTGGGAACCTGTTGAGGCGTGCGGGCATCCTGGGACCTAAGCAAGTGGCTGAGCCTCATCTCCTTCCACACAAACACGTTCGGTGACGCCTTCTGCGCAAGCTTCTGATCCTCACCCCACTGAAACTCTGAACTCTAAACCCCTATGCAAACCTTAAGGGTAACTCCCCCAAGCCCCAAGAACCCTAAACCCAAGCTGCAGAACTCCCGAAACCTCCTCCGGGACGCGATAGGGGTTTAGGGCTTGAATGCCGCCCGCACCTTCTCCAAGAGCTTGCGTACAAATTCGCTCCTGGGGGTTGGGGTGCATGGTTTCTTAGTGTTGACTGAGTGTTGACTGCAATCTTGCACGTATTTGAGGCACCTTGGGAGTGCAAAACTGCATCCCAGCCAAGTTGAAGTCGTTGAAGCCATAGCTAATCACTCACGCTTTTAGAACATACCCGGCAACACTCGCCGAAAGGTATCGTAGCGTAGCTAGATACTTGGGTGAAGCAGACCGCTTAGCCCCTGGCGCTTTGCAGCCGACCGTCGTTTTTGTGAACGAGGCGGTGCTCCTCTACCAGTTTGCACGATCTCGTGATTTCTCTTCATGAACTCTTCCTCCACCGCGGCCAAATCTCCTTAGTGACACTCCGACACAGGATAGGTTCGTTAAAAACTCAAAACACTCAAGAGGGAGAAGCATCGCCCTCCGTGAAACCCTAAACCTTAAAACCCTGAAACCCTAAAAACAACTAAACAACCCAAAAAACCCTAAACCCTGAAATCCCCAGATGCCTTTTTGGCTTTGAATAGGGAATGAAGTCTAACCTTAGGGATATAGGTGTCTAATTCCGTAATGAGAACTCGCGCGCTTTGAGCCGGCTAAGCCCGGAATTCATTGAAGACAAGGGGCCCAGTCCCAGTGCAACCATGTTGTCGGAATGGGGGATGCTGGCGGGTATTGCCAAGCTTGTCTCCGCTTCTCAGGTCCAGATACTCCTGCAAGCCCTAGGCCCTAAGCACATGTGTCCAGTTATGTGCAGCAAGTCTTGACACACATGACTGCTGGAAATGTGCAAGAACCTGTTCCGTCATGACATGCTATCCCATGCTTACCTTCAGTGGAGCGTGCAAGCACTTGGCCGCAATTGCGCAGAGCCGAGAAGCAGAGGAAGGACAAACTGAACAAATCCAAGCTTGCACTATCGTGAAGTGCCCAAGGAGAGGAGACTTCTCGTTTTAAGCGCGCAGTAAACTCTAAAAACGAGTCCGGCGTCAAAAACTAAACAAACTAACTCAAATGTTCAGACAGTGTTTATGAAATTTCCCGGAATGTTCGTGAGCATATGCCATATTTAGCGTGCTCTTAGTTCAAGCTCCCTGAATGTTCAAGCCATTGCTTATCGATCTGGAATCAGTTTACCAAGTTGCGCGACATTTTTATCAACACAAAATCTGAGTACTCTTCATTACGCCAGCGGCCCGAGTAGATCCCAAAAAGTGAGAGACCATGTGGAAAGGCGCACAAGTTAAGAGCACTCCAAGCGCTCGAAAACAACGTTCCATTGGCACTCGAAGAACAACTCCCAAGGAGCATCCCAAGAGCTCACCAAGAACACTTCAAGGACTACGCATCATGGAGACACGAAACCTCCGCGTACTACGTTTGTACCATAAAAACGACCTTCTTTCCAGCCACCGGAGGTCCAAACATGCTCCGCGCACTACCTTGGTTGCGCCTATCTCGCTGCATCTGCTTTTCCAAGTCACAGCAATTATTCGGACTCGGCTGCATGTACATGTATGCTCATTCATTCGCCACTTTTCGGAAACCCCCCACATCATGCAGATTCCGAACACTCAGGCATAGCCCTCAGCTTCTTCGAGTCCGGCAGTCAGCTGTGTGCTTAGCTGTTCTTACGATTAAGCGTTCGAAGAGTTTATGGCGGTTTCTGCCTCGGGAGTGCACGCAACCGGACCAGTCTCCAGGGTAAAGGATTTAGGGTTTAAATTTAGGTTTGGGTTCTACCCCTGAACCTTACGGCAGAAGCACTGACCCACGTCGGTGAGAACCGGATCATGACTGCAGTCAGCTTGAGAAGTGAGCGATGGAGCACAGCACAGGGAAACTAGACTCCACGCTTGGAACCACCTCGCGCCCAAAACCGAAAGGCAGAAGCATGCCAATCTTCAGGGTTCAAAGATTAGGGTGTCGGATGGAATGCCGGACATTACACATGTCTGATTGACGAATTGAACGATGTTAGAGGGCGCGGTTCTGTGCATCTGTCAATGCCGATGCTCACTGAAAGCAGTCATGGAACGCCAGCGGGTCAACTTCTTCAGGGCAGTTGTCGCCAGTCTAATCAGAATATCAACAATAATTCGAATATTTCTATTATAGAATAGTATGAGACTGATCTTAGCAATCAGATCAACAATTTCTAAAGCTCTTTTTCACGCGGCCGCGAGCATGCCGTAGATTCAGCTGGTGGTGGCAGCTTGTCATCCGGGACTTCGAGTTCATCTCCCTGGTACTTTCTAGGGAATGAGGGATTGAGGGCCCTATATACTCCCTTAAAGGGTATAAGTAGGGCCCTCTATAATCCCTTAAAGGGTATGAGTAGGGCCCTGTATACTCCCTTAAAGGGTATAAGTAGGGCCCTCATTCCCTCATTCCCCTACGAAGAACCAGGAATTCATCAGCATTTGAAAGTTAGTTTGTACAGCACGGCTCCAGCGAATTGTCTTAACTCAACTGGAGCACGCCAAGTGGGGGTTGACGAAAACTAAGGGGGAACCTTGGAATAGACCCCCAAATAGTAGGATTCCCTTATAATGAGGACCCCAAGAAGGTACCCGTATCTTCGGCAACCCCCCTACACCCCAAACCCTTTAAACCCTAAACCCTAAACCCCAAACCCTTTAAACCCTAAACCCTGTCTTCAGAGCACAGTAGCTGCATGGGCCAGAATCGCTTTCTGGAATCATGGCATCTCGGGATTCATCCTCTGCATGCCGACTTGCCGTATGTACAGCTTTGGCCTGTAACCCTAAAATGTCCGAACCCCTGAACCTTAATTAAACCCGAACAATACCCTATACCCTACACCCTAACAAACCTAAGCCCTAAGCCCCAAGCCCTAAGCCCAAAACACTACGCCCTAAACCCGAAAACCCTAAAACCCTGAAACCCGAAAACCCTAATACCCTGAAGCCCGAAACGCCGCAACGTAGTTGCAGTCAGCGAGTGGACCTAGCCAGCCGCACCCGCTCCAGGCCTGAAGAAAGACGAAATTCCCGGGGCACATAAGTTTAGGGTTTGGGGTTTAGGGTTTCGGGTACCCTAAACCCTGAAACCCAGAAAACTCTAAACCTTATAAGGTTTGGGTTTTGGTTTCATGCGTAGTTCGAAGTGGGGCTAGGGATACCCCAAAAAACTCACAACCAGTTCTAACTTATGACCCAATGGCTTCTTTGATACCCTGTCACGGAACTACCCGCGAGGCTCTAAGCAGGGTTTACGTAGTTTCTCGTTCTTCCCGGGGATTTCGAGATTAGGTGCCCAGTGCCTATATAAGTCCTCAAAAACGGAGCTGTTCTCGCGCAGAACCAAAGCACTCTAAACCCTAAAACCCCAAAACCCAAAACCCTAAAACCCTAAACTCTAAAACCCTAAACCCTAAACCCGAAACCCTAAACCCTAAACCAGTAAGATTAGCTTTAGCTCTCAGCGATTTCGGGGAGCCTTCCAGTGCAGTCAAGCTGCGAGATCTGCGAGACCTGCTGAGCATCACGAGGCCTCTGGACCTTGGCCAGCTCTCCTAATTGAGGGGCCTGAATAGTTTGTAAGAGTTTTTTTTTTTTTTTTTGGGGGGGGGGGGGGGGGTTATTGTAGTATATATATATATTTATTTATTTATTTATGTATAAAGGGACCCCAAGAGAATAGTATGAGTAATTGGTCCGTCCCCTATATTCTACTGCGCTACATAGCTAGAAAAGAGGCCTAGGTCCCCGTCGGATACTTCAACCCTAAACCCTAAACCCTAAACCCTGAGCCCAAAATGGGCACCCTTGAGCCCGAATCGGAGAGCCACCCAGCCTCGACAGGCTCTGCCGGGGCTGTGGGCACACCTGCACTACGGTTTAGGGTTTGGGTTTAGGGTTTAGGGTTTAGGATTTAGGGTTTAGGGCCGAGGTCTGGAATCTTCGGGTTTCATAGGAATGGCCATGTTGTTTACGAGGCCCACAGCACTCAGGGGATGCGGCAGGTCGGAGTCATCGGTTGCAAACTGCATGAGTATCTGAGTGCTTTTTTGAAGGTTTATGTTCAGGGACTGAAGGAGGAATCGCACTACTTGGGTTGGGGTAGGGAACCCTACACCCCTCACCCTAAACCCTGAACCCTAACCCTAAACCCTAAACCCTAAACCCTAAACCCTAAACCCTAAACCCTAAACCCTAAACCCTAAACCCTAAACCCTAAACCCTAAACCCTAAACCCTAAACCCCAAGGGGAAGCAGAGTCCCTAAACGCATCTAAGCTCTAAACCCTCAACTTAGCTTCACTTCCATGGCCTGGAGGTTGCTGGAGAGAAGTAGAGGCCACAGCAGCCGTGTCCTCTATGCCGGACCTGACGGGTTTAGGGTTTAGGGTTTAGGGTTTAGGGTTTAGGGTTTAGGGTTTAGGGTGTAGGCCTCCGCAAACTATGCCCCAACTACTCTGCAGTCCTCTGCAACTTCCTCAACAACCTCTCCTTATCTACCATTTGATGCTTAAGAACCAACAAAGATGAAAGATAATAATACCTATCTTGCCCTTGTACGGCAAAATAGATGTGTGTTTTTTGGAGGTTCCTAAGCACATAGTTTCTCTTGACTCAACATTGGAAACTATCCCGAGGGTGCCGGCCATCGACAGATCCCAACAGACAGACCGCTTTTATGCGCGCGTGTGGCATTCGAAGGGTTTCGGGTTTAGGGTTTAGGGGTTAGGGTTTAGGGTAAGCCTGGATCTCTGTCATTCTGACATGTATAAGGGCCTGAGGGACCCTGGTGCCACCGAGCCTGGGTCTCCATCCCTCCGCACTGGCTTCGCGTGCATAAGCCTGACGGATTTAAGGTTCAGGTTTTCGGGTGAAAAGGTGTCGGGTTTGGGGCTGGAGGTAATGTTGACTTCGCATTAATAAACCCCCCCCCCCCAGGATGATCAATCTTTTCGGCCAGGGGCCTCCTCAATTGCACTCGCCTAATTCCTGGTAGGATTTTCTATTAGTTTTAGTATTAGGTAGCTCCCCCCCCCCCGCCCCAAAAAAGGGGGTGATTTTATAATTTTGTGGCGGGCGATATTATTGTGTTCCGGCCCCGGGATTTTATAATTGTAGCGGGAATCCTTAATGTGAAGTCAACATTAAAGAGGAACTGACCTGGACTTCTGTCGCGCCCAATGCTGTAGGGCTTGCGGTTTAGGCACTTTTTTGGCTTTGGAGATCTGCCAAGAAAAAGCAAAGCAGACCCTGAAACAAGGGAAATGTACCCCAACTGATGCGGGATGCTTCCCACGCTTACGGGTGTAGAGTGTGGACGGGCTTCCATTTAGTCTAAGGGGCCTGTTAGATTCGAAGGGGTGTTTCGGGTGGTTTATAGCATAACTATGTCAGCAATCAGCAACATAAGGGGAGAGTCTTGAAAATGTGTAGAGGCCCCTGTCCTCGGCAGGTTGAGGGTTTACGGGTTAAGGCGTCGGGTTTCGCACTCCCTGAAGCAAAGGGAACACAAGCAGGGCTCCTCGGCAGCCTCTTCTCGGAGTCGCGCCTGCTCGCAGGCAAGGCGCATGGCCTGCAGGGTTTAGGGTTTAGGGTTTAGGGTTTAGGGTTTAGGGTTTAGGGTTACTTGGGGTTACTTGGGCGGGGGGGGAGAGTGGCTTTGGGCGGCGAATGGCTTTGTGGGGCGCACAGGGCCTTGGGCACTTCATGGAGTTCTTACGCGACACCAAGGGCGTGCGGCTGTTGAAGGGTCTTTGAAGGGTTCCAAAGCCCCGGCTGATCAAGGCAGACAGACTCCGAGGCAGCCATGCTTGCAAGGTCATTTGCGTATTCAGTTGTGTGCGCCAAAAAAAAGAACCACAGCAACCAAAAACATGTTGCAGGACGTCGCCTCAACCCATCCTAAACCCTAAACCCTAACCATACTCATTTTGCTTCCCTTGGGTAGGCATCAATCGCTTGCAAATGGGGGTTGCCGGCTTGGCTGTGCTTCCGAAGCGTCTCTGCATGTTGGTCCAACTGAGGGTGCTTGTGTTTTTAGGGTTGAGGGTTTAGGGTTCAGGGTCTCACCTACAAACATTAGCGGAAGCCTCTGCCCCGCATTGCAACCCGTGCACTTAACGACAAGCTGAATACCATTTGGTACAACGCTTGCAGCATTCTAAGCCCACCATCACATCCTTCTACTCTTGTGACTTGGGATTTCGGACATAGGTGACAAATGCATATACACATGTACATATATATATATATACACACATAAAAATACATGTGTATACATGTATATTGTACTGTATACTTATGTGTATGCATGTATGCATGTATGCATGTATGCATGTATGCATGTATGCGTGCATGCATGTATGCATGTATGCATGTGTGCATGTATGCATGTATGCATGCATGCATGTATGCATGTGTGCATGTATGCATGTATGCATGTATGCACGTGTGCACGTATGCACGTATGCAGGTATGCATGCATGCATGTATGCATGTATGCATGTATGCATGTATGCATGCATGCATGCATGTCTGTATGTATGTATGTATGTATGTATGTATGTGTAAAACATGTATGTATGTATGTATGTATGTATGTATGTAAATCCTCAAGCGCAGATCAGCTTACAAAACGCCTAGAGCACAGTCTTACACATGCAAAGTCCCGAAACTTCCAGAAGAACACATGTCGAGCTCAACTTCCTGGGCTTCTGCGCTGTGACAAAAGGTTCAGGGTTTAGGGTTTAGGGTTTAGGGTATAGGTTTAGGGTTTAGGGTTTAGGGTTTAGGGCTTAGGGCTTAGGGTTTAGGGTTTAGGGTTTAGGTGCGAGGTCGCGCGCTCGGGCGTGAAACGCCCCGGGCCGCGCGCTCGCGTTGCCTGTAATCCCGCCCCGGCCACCCCAAACTATTCTCAATTAGGGTTTAGGGTTCACCCCCCAACCCCCCTCAAGGGGGGCGTTCAATTCATTCCAAGGCGCATTCCATTCTACCAACGCCGCGATGCCCCACAGAGGAGAGAGCAACAAAAAATGTCCCGCTCCACGTTCGGGGGGTCCCGGGGCACCCCCCAGACAAGCCGCCCGGACATATCCGGACACCCCTGCACGCCCCCGGACGCCCCCGGACCCCCCGGACGCCCCCGGACACCCCGGACGTGGAGCCCCCCACGCCAAATTGAGCAACCAGCCTGCCCGGTCCAGCCAGGGGCTTAGGGGGGCCCGGGCAAGCCCTCAAAACCCTAAACCACCCCAACGGCCCGAGGTTTGGGGTTCTACTTTGGTTAACAGTAAAGGTGGTCTGGATACGGCCATCCCTTAGGCCGGAAGCAAGGCCAGGGTCGTTGGCCTGTACAGGACAAGCCGGTGAGGCTTTACCCTCACCTCTCCGCAACCCGCTCTTTTCGTATGGGCGCTCGGGCTGTGAGCCCTCGGCCAAGCCGTTCGGGGTCTGTCGCTCCACGGAAGGGACCCCTCACTAAGTTTAGGGTTTAGGGTTTAGGGTTTAGGGTTTAGGGTTTAGGGTTTAGGGTTTAGGGTTTAGGGTTTAGGGTTTAGGGTTTAGGGTTTAGGGTTTAGGGTTTAGGGCCCTCTGGGTCCTCAAGCCTCAACCCCTTGCTTCAGGAGAGCTGTGGGGGCTTAGCTGCTGGGCTCAGTGTGATTGAAACTGCTGTGAACTCCTTGGGGACGAAATGAAACCCAAAAAGGGTTTAGGGTTCATACACCTTTATAGGGGTATATGACCCCAACTTTCGAGTTCATTTGGTCCACAAGGCTGTGGCAGCCCGTCAGCCGGCGCGAAACTGGCCATTGCGCGCAGGGCAGACAGGAATTCCAAGCGGCAAGTCCGCGTGCCAGAGGTTTCTGAAAGCCGGCGTCTGTTCGGCTTTAAGAGGGTGACACTATCCCTTTTTAGGGTTCCTGTAAAAGCACTATATAGAAGTTGGGGCATATAAGGGGTACCCCCTATTTTCGGAAATCCCCATCGCTGCCTTCCGAAACCCGATGAAGCAATCAGCGAGGCGGACAGCGCAGAGCAGTCACTGCTGCACTGGGAAAGCCCGAAGGGGTCATATACCGTATCAAGGTATATGAACCCTAATCCCTGAACCTTAAAACCCGAAACCCTAAACCCTAAGCTCACAGAGATCGCAGGTCAGCGTGATCTTGACCTCAGCCTTGGATCTCAATGGTTCTTGGTTAACACTCTGACTAAGATAGGCTTCAGGCTTTATTCTTAGGGTTTCCAGATCGGATAGAAATATACCAGCAGTAGGGATTATGAGGCGACAATTATTGATAGTCATTTCGGCTCCTGTATCACCGCAGCAGTCTGCCGCCGATCACCACATGACAAGTTTGGTCAGGGAATGTTTTCGCCAGAATCATGGGTTTAGGGTTTAGGGTTCAGGGCTTAGGGTTTAGGGTTTACTGTAGACCAGCTCAAAGCATTTGCTTGAATCGAAACTTCTGTCCGAAAATGCTTCGACATGGTTCGACAGCTCACTGCACTCTCACCCTCCTGCAGCCAAAGAGCCCCTGTTGCTGTGGCAAGGGAAGCACGACGTTCAGTCGCACATCGACGGTGTTCAGTAACGAAGCATTCTGCAGGGTGCTTGATAACCTCGCCATTCTCACTCACACACACACACACACGAGAACACAGCATCTCTTAATCCGTCGTGGCACGGGCACTGGCATGCTGACATCAGTGCCTACTTTCTTATAGCTACTACACGTCAAACCCAAAACCCTGAACCCCTACCAACACCCTAAACTGCTTTCGACTGGAGCGGCTTGAGACCGCCCCAACACTTCCGCCCCACTGGGGGCACGGCCACCGGGGGTCATCGGCGTAGCGAAGCAACTTCCTCCCGGTAGGGTCCCGAAAATTGAGACCACACTACAGGCTAGCCATACCGTAATGGCTGAATTGTGGGTTCACCTCTGCATGAAAATTCTGCATGCAAGAAAACCCTAACAGGGTTGGGAATGAGAGGTTGGCGAGTGAGCCGGTTCCTACGTAGTTCGAAGCTCACAAGGCTTGGTCTTTGTGTATGTATGGGGTATCGCGAAACTGCGAACGCGCAAGGCAACGCGTTGGCTGCTTTTTGGAGCACAGCTCAGAATCGTGATATGCCTGCACCTCCCTCCAGCGCAAAGTCTCCTTTTATTCCCCCCAAAACCCTAGAGCCTAGACCCTAGACCCTGAACCCCAAACCCCAAACCCTATAAACCCTATAAACTCTATAAACCCTCTAAACCCTCTAAACCCTCTAAACCCTCTAAACCCGATAAACCCGAAACCCTAAACCCTAAACCCTAAACCCTAAACCCTGAGCCCTAAGCCCTAAACCCTAAACCCTAAACCCTAAACCCTACCACCCTTGCTTGTTCAGCACGGAGCCTGAACTCCTCCCACATGGTCGTGCCAGCTGTCATTATGGAGCAAGCCAAGCCTTCAGCTCGGCTCCAGAGGCTGGGTTTAGGCTTTAGGGTTTAGGGTTTAGGGTGTAGGGTTTAGGGTTTAGGGTTTAGGGCGTGAAGGTTCATGTGGGTAGTTGCAAGTAGGGTTGCAAGCACCGTACAGAAGGTCATGAAAAAGTAGGGTCACAAGTACCCTACAGTTACATAAGGGTTTAACCAGTTAGGGGTATAAGTATAACCTTACTTATAACACCAAGTATAGCTACCAGCTTCGTTCGCGACAGCAGAGGGATTCGGGAGGCTTCAGAGGCTTGGGCTTTGGGGTTTGGGGTTTGAGGTTTAGGGGTTTGGGGTGTAGGGTTTGGGGTTAGGGTTTGGGGTTTGGGGGTTAGGGCCCTATGCTCCCGTCGTGCGTCCGTTTCTCTTCCCTGTCCGAGATCAGTGCCGTAAGCCGCGTCGGCAAGCTGGTCCAGAGGGTCCTCGAACACAAGTGGCCAACAAAACACAGCCCCTAAACCTAAACCCTAAACCCTAAACGCTATATAAACCCTAAACCCTAAGCCCTAAACCCCAAGCCACCCGTCCGGATCCGACTTGCGTGGATGGCGCAGCCGGATCATGCATGAACGGTGCATTTGTCATGATACGACAAGTCAATATGTCATTGACGGCTGCATCGCATCCAATATGGATAGTTCTCCGGAAAAAAGGACGCATTATTTCGACACCCAACAAGTGCCATCAGAAGCAGCGTGTAAAACGGAGAGGTGGAGCGCATTCCATAGCGGTACCTTGTGAAATCAGACCGCTCTAACGCGCCTCTCAAAAAACACGAAATGCCGTCAACTCTCCCTGGAACCCTCAATCTGCTGAAGCCCTACACAACCCCTAGCCCGCGAACTGTACGTGGGGTGGGAGGTTGTTCAAGATTCAGGGCTTTTTTGGCGCCCTAGGGAGACCCTCTCAACCCTCAACCCTAAACGCCACAAGCCCTCAACCCTAAACCCTCAACCCTAAACCCTAAACCCAGCGTCGCCTCCGAGACGTCAATTTCTTCCTCCGGCAGGTGCCTCTTTTTCGCTGTCCTGAGGAGTGGCAGAATGAATAACACTCGGGGCTTCAAGGTTTAGGGGGCCTAAACCCTAAA